ATTTTAAATTCATATTAAAGTCCCTGTAATTCTCACTTTAGTGAACAATCCTGTTTGATTAGAAAAAAATGATATGATAGGAGGTTGGGCATTGAAAAATAAGCAACTGATACAAGGTACATTTTTAGAAAATATCTAATCAGATAATAAACATCTACATATCTCAGATAATAAAGGGTTAATAAGCGCAACAGCCAATACTTATCCAAATAATGGCAACGCAGTTCAAATATCTCATCAGGCAAAATGGGCCCAGATATTACTTTTTTAATAATTATTATGTAAATATAGTTCTTATTTATGTATTATTATTTATTAACATTATTTTGTTTATAGTCATAGGTTAATCGGTTATTTATATGCATCTTGCATTTTAATAATAGCTTTCTATAAATACCAGGCAACACATATAAATATTTAGCTTGGCCTCTCTTGTTTTAGCATCTCTGTCAACTGTAGCAATTCTTAATAATTCCTTTAGGCATCTGTGATCTATCAATTAGTTCAGTTAACGTTATCTGTATTTTTAGCATATTACTCTTATCAGTTTAAGAATATAATTATATTTTATATCTACATATGTTGTGTTTACCATTACCTGCCCTTACACTGCATCTTTTCACCCCCTGCCCCATGACATTATCTGGGGGAATGTGTCTCTCCATCACCTCTGTTTCCTACACCAGTGGACAACTTGGAGACCAAACAGAAATTAAAAATCAGTTTCAGCACTTCATGACAGTAGGCTCAGTATATATTTAGCATAGTAGAGTTCAGGATTTATGATATACTAAATTGAAGTGAGGACACAAGGATAACCAAAGGAAAACGAGAAGGATGGATAAGAATGAGGAAATAACAGTAACTACAGGGAGTGCAGAATTATTAGGCAAGTTGTATTTTTGAGGATTAATTTTATTATTGAACAACAACCATGTTCTCAATGAACCCAAAAAACTCATTAATATCAAAGCTGAATATTTTTGGAAGTAGTTTTTAGTTTGTTTTTAGTTATAGCTATGTTAGGGGGATATCTGTGTGTGCAGGTGACTATTACTGTGCATAATTATTAGGCAACTTAACAAAAAACAAATATATACCCATTTCAATTATTTATTATTACCAGTGAAACCAATATAACATCTCAACATTCACAAATATACATTTCTGACATTCAAAAACAAAACAAAAACAAATCAGTGACCAATATAGCCACCTTTCTTTGCAAGGACACTCAAAAGCCTGCCATCCATGGATTCTGTCAGTGTTTTGATCTGTTCACCATCAACATTGCGTGCAGCAGCAACCACAGCCTCCCAGACACTGTTCAGAGAGGTGTACTGTTTTCCCTCCTTGTAAATCTCACATTTGATGATGGACCACAGGTTCTCAATGGGGTTCAGATCAGGTGAACAAGGAGGCCATGTCATTAGATTTTCTTCTTTTATACCCTTTCTTGCCAGCCACGCTGTGGAGTACTTGGACGCGTGTGATGGAGCATTGTCCTGCATGAAAATCATGTTTTTCTTGAAGGATGCAGACTTCTTCCTGTACCACTGCTTGAAGAAGGTGTCTTCCAGGAACTGGCAGTAGGACTGGGAGTTGAGCTTGACTCCATCCTCAACCCGAAAAGGCCCCACAAGCTCATCTTTGATGATACCAGCCCAAACCAGTACTCCACCTCCACCTTGCTGGCGTCTGAGTCGGACTGGAGCTCTCTGCCCTTTACCAATCCAGCCACGGGCCCATCCATCTGGCCCATCAAGACTCATTCTCATTTCATCAGTCCATAAAACCTTAGAAAAATCAGTCTTGAGATATTTCTTGGCCCAGTCTTGACGTTTCAGCTTGTGTGTCTTGTTCAGTGGTGGTCGTCTTTCAGCCTTTCTTACCTTGGCCATGTCTCTGAGTATTGCACACCTTGTGCTTTTGGGCACTCCAGTGATGTTGCAGCTCTGAAATATGGCCAAACTGGTGGCAAGTGGCATCGTGGCAGCTGCACGCTTGACTTTTCTCAGTTCATGGGCAGTTATTTTGCGCCTTGGTTTTTCCACACGCTTCTTGCGACCCTGTTGACTATTTTGAATGAAACGCTTGATTGTTCGATGATCACGCTTCAGAAGCTTTGCAATTTTAAGAGTGCTGCATCCCTCTGCAAGATATCTCACTATTTTTGACTTTTCTGAGCCTGTCAAGTCCTTCTTTTGACCCATTTTGCCAAAGGAAAGGAAGTTGCCTAATAATTATGCACACCTGATATAGGGTGTTGATGTCATTAGACCACACCCCTTCTCATTACAGAAATGCACATCACCTAATATGCTTAATTGGTAGTAGGCTTTCGAGCCTATACAGCTTGGAGTAAGACAACATGCATAAAGAGGATGATGTGGTCAAAATACTCATTTGCCTAATAATTCTGCACTCCCTGTAGTATTAGCAATAGGACAGGAAATATGAGATAAAACCAAAATAGAACACTGAGAAAAGTTTAAAGAGCTTAGATTCGGGTCTGGGTGGGACAGGGTTCAGACCCCATAGGGTGTTCACTATCTGTGTCCTCTCCCTCCCAGTCCAAAGGACAAGACTATAGCTACCCCATCACCATGGGCGTTTTAGCCGGGAGGCAAACAAGGCATTTGCCTTGGGCGGCATTTTTCAGGGGGCGGCAAAAAACTCCACCCCCAAATGCCCAGGGCAAATGCCTTGTTAGCCTTGCGGCTAACAGACATGCCGAGCGGGCGGGCGGCGCTGGGTGGGCGGCTGGCGAGGGAGCTCTTCCTCTGAGTTGAATGACGGAGACCCTTGAAACAAGGGGATCCCAGAAGTAGCTGCTGAACTTAACAGAATAAATAGTATAGTTACCAGGTGGCAAGTAGAGAAGAACAGGGGGCTGTACTTGTAAGTGGATAAAAGGGTGAAGGGGAATAAATAGAAATACCCATATATACCCTATATAAGCCACTGCTAGTTGTATTTAATAGCAGCAAAGGAATGTCCCTTTAACAAAAAAATAAATAAATAAGAGACTCTAGCATTCATACTAGAAAAAATGTCCAAAATTAGGACACCTAGGCTGCAAAAATACAATAAGGCAACACAAAATATGTGTAATACATAAATCACCCCACTAATATAAAGGCAAGCAAACAGGAGCCTATACAAACATGAATAGGAGAAAAGAGAACAAAGGAGGACAGAGGGAAAACCCACTAAGGACAAGCCCTAAGTCCAGAGGAGAGCCCCCAGGACCAAAAAATGCCTGCCTAGAAAAACTCTAAATGCCAAATAATAAATTGCTAACTATACTAACTAACTAAATCAAACATACTAACTACCTAAGTGCTACCTAATGTGAGAGAAAAAAGATAAATCAAATAAGGCGCTCGATGCGCGTTTCAGCATGCATACACGCCATCGTCAGGAGCTATTGCAAATGCAGTTCCTATTGAAGCCGGTTAAATACCTGAGCAATCAGAGAAAAGTCCCTCCAGCTGATCCAGCGTGTGGGAGGAGTGGGTGATTGACATGGAGTCACCACTCCTCCTCAACCATGTCATTGCTTATGCTGGAGTCTCATTGGAGAATAACAAAGTCAATCACTGAGAGGTGGGGGAGGGACTTATGCATAATCAGAACACACCTATCCAAACCCTGCTGCTCACATGGGGATAACCATTGGAAGATCTATCAGTCAATCAATACAGGAGGAGGGTGCAAAATCAAGCATCCCTCCTCCTGATAACGAAACTAACATAAACCTAACTAGCCAATATATATGATATCAATGAGAAGTATCAAAATGTAGCACAGGGAAGGGGCTATATAGTTAAGCCCCCCTCCCTCTAACAGCACCTGTGGCATGAAACTGGCTGACAGATCACACAGTCAGTCATTATGCCAAATATTGATATATAAAATGCCTCCAGACGCATAAAAACATTAAAGGCATATAATACAGCTCTTATAACTTGGTGACCCCAAAAAATTATACTAACAGTCAAAAATAATTAAGTTGTAAAAAGTAATTAGTTAATTATCCTCTATATACCTGAACATATACAAGTAAATTTGCCTGGACATTAAGATATAGCACCCTGCTGTATAATGCTTCCACTGGGATTCATATTTATTAATAATGGCAATTAAGTATAAGGCTTAAGTTAAGTTTACACTGCAGAGGGTTATTGTAGAATATGGCATATTCTATGTTTCTATTGATAATATATATGGATGTGTGGATTGACATAAGTAACAGATGGTATCAATAAGTCACAAGGCTTTCTTTGTCCGAGAGCTCTGGAATGTGGATGTGGGGGTTTTGTCCTTATATGGCTAGAGTTATATGCTGACGTTAGTATTAGCACTTCTATATAGTAACAGAGGGACACGAGGTCGCGCTCAGTCTTGGCTTGAGTCTTGGCTCTGTACAACGATGTAACTCTCCCATCAGAAGTACAGCAATTACCATCTGCTGTTGAATGTCCATTATCCTGTAACATCATTTGTTGTTTTATGTATCCGTAACTAAGAATAAACCTGAAGAAACCGTAAGTCAGATTGCGTATTACTACTTTTCAATAATATAGACATATATTATTGTGGCGAGCATTTGGCCCAAGAATATATATACAAAAGACGTATATATATCAATCAACTGAAGACAAGAAGAAATTAAGAAAGATTCCACATGAACTTCCATCCATCTAGTTTTTTACATTGGCTAGCCAGCCAGTCTTCTATTCAAGTTTTGTTCCTACTTCAAGGGGGGAGAGAGAAGAATCGAGTTACAAAGCTATTTTGGAACTGGGAAAACAAACTTGAAGAGAAAAAAAGAATCTAGAGCTGTGTGTGTTTATCCGAAGAAAAATAAAGTTTTCAAATCAAAGACTGTACAAGACTATTTTCTACAACTGAGACAAAAAGGACAAGATACAACGTGAATTCTAGAAGCAAGCACGTGGCAGAGATTGGCAAGCGTCCAGAATCAAGCGTCCAAGCAAAGAACTGCGCAGCTGTGTGGATGAAGCAACGAAATAGACAGAAATAACTGATCTGGTGAGTAACATGGAATTCATAAATGATATTGCAGAGAAAAGTAAATTGCAGTTTGCATTTAATAGCAGCTATTCAGATGCTGTATTGTGGCAATCTTTATACACACAATGTGAAATTGCCAATAGTAAAATTGACAAGAAATTGTTTGTTAATAAGAAAAAACAAAAGATCAGAAATGTTATGAAACTAGTCTGTACTTACAATGCATTGATTTGTAAACGAAATGCAGGTCAAGACAATTTAGAATCAGCAGAAAAAGAAGTAGATTTGAATGGGTTAACAGAAGACAAATCAGATTTAAATGAACAGTGTAACAATGTAACAGAGAGAACATTGTCAGAAAAAGTCTGTGAATTAGAGGATAGAGTTGAATTAAGAAATGATCTTATTTGCCAGCTTGGAAATGAAGTTAAGCTAGTGTGTGTTAATACAAGAAAAATACAGGCACAGAATTTAATCCCAGAACCAATAGATACTGAAAATGTGTCCTCACAGAGTGATTTGCAGAAATGTAAATTTCAAGACAGAGCTGCAAAACTTAATTTGAAAATCCAGGAACAATTAATGAAAATTGTGAAATGTATTCCAGTTTATGACACGTCAGTGGATGCATTTACTAATGCTGAAATGTTTGAGTCAAATGTGGACAAATACAGCCTAAATGACGAACAAAGGAATAGACTATTTCAAATATGGCTGCCGACTCAAATGGCATGTAGGCTGACCGCGCCTGTAAAATTCGAGGACAATGATGAAATAATATATGGAAATAAGCAAGACAGATTAACACAATTAATAAAATTAACAACAGGGAATGATTTTGCAGACACTGAAATGTTGGAAAAACTAAAACCACACAAAGGGGAGGATATTTTTAGTTTTCTTGCAAAATTTGAAAGTGCATATAGACTTGTTGCTGATTTTTCTGAAGATCAGTTAATTAATGAATTTGTGAAAAAATTTCAAGATCTAGATCCAACTGCAATTGTGTTAGCAAGAGAAAAAAGCACTTTGACAGAAGTAGCTTTGTTCTTGGATAACTTAAGGAGGGAAACCAAGAATGAAGGGGTTAAAACGACTTGTGGATTTAGGCAGAGGAAGAAGTGCAGATTTTACACACCTCCTTCTTCTTCTTCGTGGACTCAGTGTAAAAGAGTGATACAGACAGCAGAGCCACTCCCAATTTGCTTAAATCAAATGCAGAATATAACTCCTAAAATTATTTGTTTTTGGTGCAATAAACAACATTATTTAAGATCTTGCAGATATTTTATCCGAGATATCAAATCAAAAGCAAATGAGAAATTACATTTGTTGATTGAAAATTTTGACAGAGAAAATACATGTGGAGATAAATCAATTAAAGCCTTTCCTTGTAAACTTATAATCAGACAAATAAAAGCAATTTTAGCTAAATTGAAATTAGGAGACAGACCAGCAATGCAGTGTAACACAGAAAGTTATAAGAATCAGGTAACTTCAATAGATATGATCAGTTTAGAGAATAAGCATGGATATGTCTGCCAACAGATGTACACAGGCTGATTCCAGAATTAAGAACAGCACACAAGAATAGAGATCTATGTTAGTTTGTTGTTTTAATGAATTGTTAGTCTGAACTGTTTTTTCATTGTTTTATGTGTGTTATAAGAAAGTATTAGGTTAATTAATTAAAATAGAAATTTACATCAAGTTTGCAAATATGGCAGAATGAAATACACTAATGTAGCAGTGAGGAACATGCAATGTTATATTGGGTGTATGCAATTATACAGTATCTCCAATCATTTTACAGAAGGAAAAAACAATAGATTTATTCTTTGTTGCTTCTGAGGTTGATTTAAAATCTTTGATTTAATTCATGAGAATGAGATTTTAATATCATGACTGATAATGGATTACTATATTTTGCAAAGCCTGGACATACATATATTTTGACTACATAGAAGACAAAAGTTTTGATAGAATAAAACCTAGATTTACAAATACATTTGATGAAGGAAACAATATATGTTTTTGTAGTTTGTTTCATGTGACAAAATGGTGCCAGTGTTAAGACAAAATGGCTACTATAGCTAAAGTATAGTGGAAAACAATATTTTGTTGTAACATCTGATATGTGATTAGGTTATACCTCCAGATTATTAAACAGTTTAAAAGGGGGGTATGATTAATAAGGTATGAGTAATAAAAAGTTTGGAAAATTAAAATGTTCAGAAAGATTATACATCACATGGCATAAATGTAATGACCACTAGATGGTAGATCTCATGAGAAGAAATTAGTATGTTTTGTGTAGTCCATGTAATTCAATGTTAAACTGTGTAATAATAATGAGATATAAACATTGTAAGCCATTGTATTGATGCTGCACATGGTTTTTGTTTTAATGTAGGTAAAGCGTGACAGATCCTTGTGGCAATAAATCAGGAAAGAATTCCTTCAGATAACTGGACATCGACTGTTGGAAAGAGACTTTTCATCTGATCTGCAAACTGTGATGGAAGATTCTACAGAGTTCATTCGATACAGAAGATTAACAGACTTACAAAGAAATAAAAGATTGACACTAACATACATATATATTCCTAAATATTAATGAAGAAAACAGACAATGAAAAGTTATTTAACAGTTATGAGTATTAATACCAAGAGAGACTACTTATAACTATATAACACATGGAGTAAAATTATTAATGGATGGTATTATGAAGAGAACTATTACATTATTACCTATACATAGAATGAGAAGTATCAGAGGAAGATAAAATATGAAGTCGATAAAATAAGGATCATGGTTACTTAATACCACAAAGATTGAGTTCAATAGTATTTCATAGATTAACTATAATGAGTAATTTGTTTATATCGAGGTGAAGTAAAACAAATAATGGTAATAAAAGGAAGAAAACTAAGGAAGGATAATTTATTTTGATTAATATTAAGTAATGGTATACATTAAGAATGCCTTGGATATAAGAGTTCAGAGATCCAAGAGGAATTGAATTGAATGGAAAGAGTACAGTACACGATTATATTTGACCTAAGTCTATAAAGGTATGGACTAGGGAGAATAGGTTTCTGGATATGATGGTATCCAATGAATAAGTTGTTAAGTTGTTTTAAGATTTCCCTGAGTTTGTTAGACACAGACTAGGAATAAGAGTTTCTGGGCAGTATGACCCTAAGTTTATTTTTGTTTATTTTATTTTAGTCAGTTGAAGTGTACTAAGGATTATGGATTGGTCAGAACATTAGGACAATCCTGCTTTTAAGATGTATTACATTAATAAGTCATCACAATGCTAATGAAGAGAGTGATGCTAATGAATTTATATTATTCTTTCCAAGTTCTTTTAGAGTAAACTATGTTTCTATTGAATTTAAAGTTTGTTACTACAAGGTAGAATTTTAGTCAAAATTATAATTATGTGAACAAAAAGAAATCTATGATAGAAAGATTTCTGGGTGAAGAATTTCTAGGACAATAAGTATTGTCAACACAATGAACATTATTTGAAGAATTATTATAGAACTTCATGGTTGATAACACATCCTTTGAATGAGACTTATAAGTAGTGTTGATATATTTCAGGTAGTGAGAGCCTACTGAATATACAAATTAAATACTATGATTGTAAAGTACTGATACAATCATCACTAGGTGGTATTAATGGTATAGGAATGTAATTCATGAATACAAATGACCTAAAGATTTTAAGGTTGCTAGAAACCATATGATTCATGGAAATATAAGTGGATGTGTATTATAGTAATACATGTATTAGTACTTTAGTAATATCAGGTATTGAGAATGAAAATACTTTGTTATATGTGTCTGTATTAGGAATATGATAGTGATACACAGTTATTATTTAGAAAGTTACGATCTTGATTTTGTTATCTACAAAGATACGACTGTACCAGAGCAGGTAGATCTTTCTGATTGCTATGCATTGTTTATTGGATCAACATTTGTAAATATTTTATTTTATTCATTTATTATTGTCATATATATGTATATATTATGTTCAAATAGTTATGATGTAACATGGATATGGATATCAATACATAGCTGAAACAGAGGAGTTTTGAAGTAAAGTAAGCAGTATGAGGAATAGAAACTCGACCTTCTAAGAACTCTCATATAATAGAAAATTGTGACTACATCTTGTTCTATGCTCAATGAATGTGATACAAGTGATGTATGAATGGACAGGTTAGTGACATTGTGTTATGGTTTTAAAACAAACCATAAACAGAGGGAATGTAGAATATGGCATATTCTATGTTTCTATTGATAATATATATGGATGTGTGGATTGACATAAGTAACAGATGGTATCAATAAGTCACAAGGCTTTCTTTGTCCGAGAGCTCTGGAATGTGGATGTGGGGGTTTTGTCCTTATATGGCTAGAGTTATATGCTGACGTTAGTATTAGCACTTCTATATAGTAACAGAGGGACACGAGGTCGCGCTCAGTCTTGGCTTGAGTCTTGGCTCTGTACAACGATGTAACTCTCCCATCAGAAGTACAGCAATTACCATCTGCTGTTGAATGTCCATTATCCTGTAACATCATTTGTTGTTTTATGTATCCGTAACTAAGAATAAACCTGAAGAAACCGTAAGTCAGATTGCGTATTACTACTTTTCAATAATATAGACATATATTATTGTGGCGAGCATTTGGCCCAAGAATATATATACAAAAGACGTATATATATCAATCAACTGAAGACAAGAAGAAATTAAGAAAGATTCCACATGAACTTCCATTCATCTACATTTTTTACAGTTATATATTCTTTATACTTTACAAATAAGGAAACAGCGTTTCAAATCAGGATTGACTGTGGCTACTGGTTAATCTCAAAATAAATTCACCACCATTTAAGGCAGCTATGTAATATAATAAGGTATGAAACCTATTAGGAACCATGTGACTAATGCAAAAGAGAAAGAGAAAAAGAGAATTTTTTATTATTGACTTATTTACATACTTACAGACAGCAAACGATTATTATAAGGTAGATCAGATGGTTGTATAGAAACTGTTGGTGGAAATACCTATCAGTCTACAAAAATGATGAGAATGAAAAACCTTCATTCAATCCCTGTGGTGACAGTGTTTTCAATTTATATATCCAGTAGGATTCTCTTTGTTTGAGCCTACGATCCCAATCCCCTTTACGTTGTGTTTGGGTTATGAGTTCTATGCCCATAATGCGTATCCTACTGGATGAATTTGCATGACAAGTCTTGAGGTGCCTTGAGATGGGAGTTTCCAGTTTGCTTCTGACTGAGTTGACGTGTTCTCTAATGCGGAACTTAAAAGGTCGGAATGTTTTTCCGACATACTTCATGCCACAAGAACATGTCAAAAGGTAGATGACTCCCTCTGTACGGCAATTGAAGAAAGACTGTACAGAATGAGAGTCAAGATTCAAACTGTCGAAAAAAATCTTTGTTTCTTTACCTATGTACTGACAGGCACTACAGTGACCGCATCTATAAGTGCCTTTAGGTAAATAGGATTTAGAAGATTTATTAAATGGACCAAAGTGGCGAGGTACCAAGAGGTCCTTAAAGTTCTTCCCTCTACGTGCCGTAACGGAAGGAAAAGGAGAGATGACTGATTTGATATGGACATCTGATGTCAGGATCGGCCAATATCTGGCGAGAATCTGCAGCATTGTGTGCCAACCTGCATCATGTGTCCCAATACAGCGAATCTGACGGCCGCACAGGGAGCAGGGGGCCCCCCGAATATGACGTCATCTTCTGGCTCCCAGCCTCACTCAGTGGCGCGCGAGGGAGCTGAGCGGACAGCTCAGAGGAAGAGCTCCCTCGCAAGCCACCCGCCCAGCCCAGCGCCGCCGGCAGCCACTGGACCACCAGGGACATAGAGAACCCCCTCCTCCCCAGCATTCCCAAAGGTAAGGGGGTAAATAAAAAAAAAAAGTGTTAATGTGAGTGTGTGTGTGTGTGTGTATGTGTGTCTGTTAGTATGTGTGTGTTTATTAGTGTGTCTGTGTGTGTCTGACTGTGTGAGTGTGTCTGCTAGTGTGTGTCTGCTAGTGAGTAAGTGTGTGTCTGTTAGTGTGTATGTGTGTGTCTGACTGTGTGTGTCTGTTAGTGTGTATGTGTGTGTCTGACTGTGTGTGTCTGT